TCTTAATTAAAATAACGATTGTTTGTCATAAAAATTAAAGAAATTAATTGTTATTAGAAAAGGTATAACTATCGGGTCAAAATCGATAACTCTAACGAGCTTTAACTCGTTATGCTAGTTGAATATTCAGTGTCATGCATGAATACTCCATCTAAAAATACACATATGATGTAATTAGAGACGTGAACGAGTCGAGTTGAGCTCAAACATTAATTAGGCAAAATTGATGAATCGAGTTCAAACATTAATTAGGCAAAATTGAGCATTAACGACTCAAACTATAGTTTAAGTACTATAATTCTAAGTCCCTCTCCATTAGACTAACTGTATGAGGGATGTTCTTGAATTTCTGGATGATTAAAAAGGGGGCATTTTTCAGATTTATATTTACTGGTCCCTGCAAAAACAAATAACTCTAATTCTGATGAAGAAAAGTAAAGCCAATAATTTTTGCAGGTCAGTTGCAGGACTGGAACCTGTTAATGTTTTAATGCGTCAATTTCAATTATGAAAAAAGGGGTCCATTAACACTATTTACAGCCTTTGTTAAATTGTGGAATTAGAAATAAATAAATTAAATTTGGTCACGTTTTCAATTACTAACAAGTTGAGTGTTTGAGACACATGTGATGACCTCGGAAAATGACAAATTAAATTTTATGACCAAATAAGATCAATTTGCTGATATGGAATTATATTCATTATTTCTTGGTCAATATTTAGGGTTTAGATTTAATTCAATTATAGGGTAAATGTAGAGTAGACTTGAATAGTAACAAGGATTTTTCAAGAGATGGCGTAATTATTGTCTTGTAAGAGAGTGTTTTATCTCTTTTAAAAAGTTTTGTAAAGAGATCTCTACTCAAATTTTTCAATAAAAATATAGTTAAGTATGTTTGATTTAAAATAATTATGCATATCGAGATGACACTCTGATACGTAGATCTAACAATGTATATATTTTTTTTAAAAAAGAACAAATGATTGTTATCATATGAACCAGCTATAATCCAGTATGCATTATATTAATACAAAATTTCTGGCTGTTCTTAAAAAAATAAACTGTTCATAAACGCAAGTCATACAACTCTACCGTGAACTAAAGAGTTCTTCAAGAAATTGAAAATACATAATCAACAAAATATGTAGCATGGTGCTACATAGATAGCGAGTAAGTTTAATATTGGAAGTTATAAAGTAACATCATTTCGTCCACATATAAATAATTAAAATGAATAAAAATAATTGATTATTAAATACCTCACTATACACGGTATCGTTAGAATCTGGATAATTCTTTCACATATAAACTAAGGGAGTGTATTCGTTTGAAATACAATTTTTTTTTTTAATATTTTAGAGATCTTGATCTATTTAATTTATACTTTTATGTCATTTGAGATTTTACAAAAAGTATATAAAATCATTTGGTATTTAACTTATTTAAAATATTGTTAAAACCTTTTAAGATTTGCTTAATTTCAAAATAAAAAATTTTATACGGAATCTCACTCTAAATGTCAACTCTGGACATAAGATTTCATAAATTCCTCCCAAGTTCATTTTATTTTCAACCTAATTATATTTCTAATATCAATTGAAAATAAAAAATAAAAAATAAAGCTGCATGTTCGGGGTGACACAAAAATCTAGTATCATAATTAAGTTTGCAATGATTTTTTAATTAATTGGTATCAATTATCTCATTTGATACTTTATTAGATTGAAATATTGTTAATTAATTAAAAATATCTAATATTATGAACAATAAAAATAAATATGACTACAATGATTAATTTTTAGGGTGAATCTTTAATTTCATTTTAGTATTTTGTGTACAATGTTCCGTGAAGTAAGATAGCAAAAGTGGATCCATAAAAACATAAAACGGATTAATTAAAGATTTTTAATTATAAAACAAGTAAATCCTTTATTAGTGAATCTATATATATATAAAAAGGTTTGCTTATTTTTTTAATATTAACTATTTCTTCAAAAAAAATCTATTTATTATTTCAAGAAATTAATTTAACAATTTATGGTATATATCAAATAATCACTTATGGAAATTGCGACTCATTATTTAAGGAAGTAATTAAGTTATATTTTAAGATACCTTAATTACTTAAATCATGTAAATAAATTAACATATGGTATAAGGCGGACGAATTTATTTTTGGTATTGATGTTGTTTCTATAGGAAATAAATTAATCAATATATAGTATAAAGTTAACAAATTTGTTTAGATTATTTAATGACTGTTTTACGGTAGAAAAATTGTTGATGTTTTTTTTATAGAAAAAACTCTGGTTAATTTTTTTGTATAATTAGCGGTTTTTTTTTATAGAAAAATTTTTGGTCAATTTTTTTTTTGTTTATTTGTATAATTAGCGGGTCTCGATTTAATTCATTTTCTGTTATGACATTTCAAGTAATTTTGTGTGAAATGCACTGTTAATTCCGTGTATTACACGGGTGTTGAATTAGAAAGCTTTTGGAAAAAAATTTAAATTTTATATTTTTTTAAAAACTAAAATAATTTAATTTTATATAAAATATTACTTTGAATTTTAATTAAATTGTCAAATTATATTTTTTTAATCGTAATAATTAAACACTCGTACATTAAATGAAAATGTCAACCCGTGTTGAATCTTTTTACTTATGTCATATAAAAATATCGAGATTATTTATTATTACATAAGTACAAAAATATATATCTTAAACAAATAGAAATAATATGGTGATATGTATATGCATAAGTGTAGAATATGTTTATTTAATATTAAGCAAAATAGATTAATTTATTTACTTAATTAGATGCCTAATACATCAAGTGTCGTACCAATCGTGCTTCACAGTTTTCTAACTTTATATGTAATTTTAGAATTTATATAAATAATTATTTTTTTTATTACATTGACAACATACAAATTAGATTTGAAATAAATATTATTTTTAAAATAATACATACAATTTCTATTACTTTATAATATAATTTATAGTTTTATTTGATATAATTTAATTTAGTTTGATAAAGAAATTTAAATTTTATTTATAAGGAAATATATTACTGTTTTGTATTTTATATATATATATATATAAATAGTAAAATACAAACGGATTTCATAATATCAATTCAAATGCAATACTCTAATTGAAATTTTTTTTTTCTTGACAATATTAACCCTATTTAATGGATGTTATGGAAAACAATGGAGATGGGATATGAAGAGACACTGTATATTAGATGGAGGGTTAAAAATGGAAAAATATGAACAAAATATCTAAAACGACATTTATTTTATCAATGATCAATTAAGCCAAAGTTACAAATAATAAAAATAGGAGGGGGTATATATTATTATATATTTTAGTATGACAAGTGTTACTTGTGCGACTTAATTATAATAAATTTTTTACCTTATAACATATAACTACATTAAACATAAATTTATTAATTGATAAATAATTTTATTTTCTAAATAATTTTAATAAATAATTTTATTATTATTATAAAGATAAATATAATATATTTATTTTATATATACAATATGGATGTCAAATCGAAGCTCATCAAAAGATGATTAATTTAATATATTATATATGTAAAACCGATAAGAAATACAAAAGTTATTAATNAAGAAGGGAACATATTATTCCAAGAATAAGAGACTGTTACGGGGGTGAATATGGAATTATGGGAAATTGAAATAACTTTCTTGGATCCTGAAACTAACAATTTTGCCCTAATTTTCTGCCCATATTTAATCAAAATTGCTGCTGGGCCAAGGATAAAATCATAAAAGGCAACAAGGAATGATGAAAAAGTTGAGGAGGTGAAAACCAAAAGAAAAAGTGGGAGCAAAAAAGAAACCCAAGAAAAATTTAAATAAAGTATAATTAGCGCAGCAGAGCAGACAAAGGTAAAAACAAAATGCAGAGTATTGAGAAGAAAGCAAAAGAGAATCAAAGAGACGGTGTTGTGCGGCTAAACTGTTTTTGAATGAAGTTTGATATTAACAAAAATGGTAACACTCAAATAAGGGGGAAATCAAATAATTAAAAATATCCAAAAAGTTTCACCTAGAAAAAATAAATAAAAATGAATCGTCTTTTATAATTATACATAACCCCTCCAGATTTAAATAACTATGTTTTATGAATTTTTAAATTGCTTTGTGTATATTTTTTGTAATATGTGGTGTTTTTACCACTTTTATTTCAAAATAATTGTATATAAATAAGAAGATAAATAGTTTTTAATTAAAAATGGTGTATTTTTGTAAATTTTGTGTGTTCACCTTTTTCAAAATAATTATATAAATAAGAAATAAAGATAAAATTTTCATTAAAAAGAAAAAAGTGTATTTTTTGTATTATTTTGTTGTTTTTACCACCTTTTTTTCCAAATCAAACATATTAAATAAGAAAATAAAGATAATTTCTTAAAAAAATTATCATTTAAGCTAAAAACACACAATAAAGCACTAAATTTAAAAAAAAAATCGAGATGATTTAATAATATGGAAAAAGTGGAAAACATTGTTACTCTAAATTAATATAACAAACATTAACGTGTAAGAAAAACAAACCATGAATATGCATTTCAATATTTCGTATGTGCACAAATTATCAATTTATAGTAAATTTATTACATTTTTCCTATTGAATATAAAATTATAGTGTGTTTATTTCATAAAGTTGTTAAAAATATGGGTAATATTGATAAGTTGGAAAACTTTATCTGAAAAATTATTTCGAAAATATTGTTTATATTTCTTGAAAAATTTAATATAAGTTCTCTTTTTTAATTCTAATTTACCTTCAGATAATGCTTTGTGGCTTTTCTTCAATTACACTAAACCTTAAGGGCTTCATTTGCAATTAACCCAAAATACTGTTGCTGGTAACTGGTAAGCATCATCTCCCTCCTTTTTCCTTTCTCTCTCTATATCTTCCATCTGTCTCTCTCTTCATGCCAAAAACACAGCCCACTGAGAGAGAGAGAGAGAGAGAAAGAAAGCCAATAATCATCATCATCATGAAACAACACTCTCTGCATCATGCACTCCCAAAAAGCGTAACCAACCATCAAAACCTTCACCACCTTAAATCCTCCACTCCACATTCCCCGCTCATCCCCCACTCTACCGCCACACACCCCAAACCATGACCCTTTTCCCTTCCTTCCTCCTCGCCGTAGCCCTCCTCACCACCACCACCGCCGACCCATCTCCCTCCCTCCAGCTCCTATCCCTTCTCGCCCTGAAATCATCTCTCTCGGATCCCCTGAATTCCTTCCAGACCTGGAACGTGACGACGGCGGCGTCTCCTGTGAACGATTCTTCCCGGCCCGTCGAGTGCTCGTGGCCCGGCGTCGGCTGCAATCTCCTCGGTAACCGTGTTACCAGCCTCGACCTGTCGGGCCGCCACCTCTCCGGCAGTATTCCGGCGGATGTGAAGTATCTGACCCACTTGACGTCTCTGAATCTGAGCTGGAATTCGTTCGATGGCCCGCTCCCCGGCGCCGTTTTCGAGCTCACGAGCCTCAGAACGCTCGACATTAACCACAACCAATTCAACTCGAGCTTCCCGGCCGGAATCTCGAAGCTCGAGTCCCTCGAGTTTTTTAACGCTTTCAGCAACAATTTCTCGGGCCCATTGCCGGAGGAGGTCGTTCTCCTCGAAAACCTAGAGTATCTCAATTTGGGCGGCAGTTACTTCGAGGGAGAAATCCCTTCGAGCTACGGGAAATTCGCGAAGCTGAGGTCTCTGTATCTGAATGGGAACTCGCTGGTGGGCCGGATTCCGTCCGAGCTGGGTTCCTTGCGCCGGCTCGAGCACGTGGAATTGGGGTACAATTTGTATTCCGGTGAAATTCCCCTACAACTCTTCAATTTATCGAAGTTAAGTTATCTGGATTTATCGGGGGCCAATTTATCCGGTCATCTTCCCAATGAGATCGGCAGTGTCGAGAGCCTGCAATTCCTGTTGTTGTTCAATAATAAACTATCGGGCCCAATTCCAGCGAGCTGGGCCCGAATGGTCTCGTTGCAGGTTCTCGATTTGTCGAACAATAATCTCTCAGGTCAAATTCCAACCGGATTTTCAGATTTAAAGGAGCTCACCACGCTGTCCCTGATGAACAACGAGCTGACAGGGGAAATTCCAGAAGGAATTGGCCAGCTCCCAAATTTAGAAATACTCTCCCTCTGGAACAATTCACTTTCTGGTATTTTACCTCAGAGTTTAGGCTCCAATGCCAGGCTACAAAAGCTCGACGTGTCCACGAATTCTCTCTCCGGCCCCATCCCACCCGATCTCTGCCTCAGCAACAACCTCGTCAAGCTCGTTCTCTTTTCCAATCAATTTTCCGGCCAAATCCCACCTTCATTAGCCAACTGCACAGCCCTTTCCCGAGTGAGGATCCAAAATAACCAACTCAACGGGTCAATACCGTCCGGGTTTGGATCCTTGCCCAACCTCACCTACTTCGAGCTGAGCAAGAACAGACTATCCGGCTCAATTCCGAACGACATCGTGAATGCCGAGAGGCTACAGTTCCTCAACATTTCTGAAAACACATTCGATTCAAAACTGCCGGAGAACATATGGAAAGCCCCAGGCCTACAAATTTTCTCGGCAAGCTCGGCCAACCTCACTGGAAAAATTCCGGATTTCATCGTGTGCCGAAATTTCTACAAGATCGAGCTCGACGGGAACAATCTCACCGGCGGCATCCCGTGGGACATTGGCCACTGCGTAAAGCTAATCGCCCTAAACCTTCGCCGGAACTCACTCACCGGAATCATCCCGTGGGAAATATCCACATTGCCCTCAATCACAGACGTCGACCTCTCCCACAACTACCTAACCGGAACCATCCCCTCAAGCTTCGCCAACACCACAACCCTCGAGAACTTCAACGTGTCTTACAATCAGCTGACGGGCCCCATCCCATCCTCAGGCCAGCCATTCGCAGGCCTCCACCCATCCTCGTTCGCCGGCAACCAAGGCCTCTGTGGCTCATCCATAAACATACCCTGCAGAACCGGGCTTTCCGGCGGGCCCTCGGCTGAGGCCACGAATGTCCACCGCAGGCCCAAGAAGACTGCCGGTGCCATTGTCTGGATTGTGGCAGCCGCTTTCGGAGTCGGGCTTTTTGTCCTGATTGCCGGCGGGCGATGCTTCCGGGCAAAGTACGGGCCGAAGCTTCCGGGCTCGGGCCGCCGGGAAGTTGGGCCTTGGCGGCTGACCGCCTTCCAGCGGCTCAACTTCACGGCAGACGATATCTTGAACTGCCTCGACTCGAGTGACAAGGTTCTCGGGATGGGGTCCACTGGCACGGTTTACAAGGCCGAGATGCCAGGTGGCGAGATCATAGCCGTGAAGAGGCTGTGGGCGAAGAACAAGGAGAATATCCGGAGGCGGAGGAGTGGGGTTTTGGCCGAAGTCGATGTTTTGGGGAATGTGAGGCACCGGAATATCGTGAGGCTTTTGGGTTGTTGCAGTAATAATCAGTGCACGATGTTGCTGTACGAATACATGCCGAACGGGAGTTTGGACGATCTTTTGCACGGGAAGAACAAAGCGGAGAATTTGGTGGCGGATTGGGTGACGAGGTACAAGATAGCGTTAGGGGTCGCGCAGGGGATATGCTATCTTCACCATGACTGTGACCCGGTGATCGTGCACCGTGACTTAAAGCCGAGTAACATACTCTTGGATGCTGAGATGGAGGCCCGCGTGGCTGATTTTGGAGTCGCCAAGTTGATCGAGAGCGACGAGTCCATGTCTGTGATCGCAGGGTCGTACGGGTACATTGCACCAGGTATGGTTGATTTTGTTTTGTTTTTTTTGTTTTTTTTTTGGTTTTTATTTTATTTTGCAGATTGTTTGGGATTAGTTGTTGAAAATTTGAGTTATGGGAATGTGAAGTTTGATTCAATCTTTGCTTGAAGGACTTCAATTGATCAAATAGTAAATTTGTGAAAATCATGTTTGTTAATGTAGGAACTTGCTGATAACTGATTCAGAGAGGAATGTGAAATTGTAGTATAAATACTATAATAATGTAGAGGTTGCATTGACTTATTCCTTTCAATTCTTGAAATTTTTACTTACATTTTGTACATTTACTTTTGTTAGGTGAAGTGATGCAGAGATTCTATATTTATTTATATTGAGAAAGTCTTTGTCAAATATTTGGGCATGTAACATAATATTTACATGTTTTGGTTTGTTTAGTCCGTTGTGTAGTAGGGTGACGAAATTATAGTGCGTGGATAATGTGATATATGCCTATTTGCTTCTTTTATGCTGTTAGATCTGTGTAATGTGTTTTTGTCTTGTTGTGGCTTAACAGTTACCATCCTCCCTCCATTGGTTGTATTTAAACTAACAAACTATTTGATCCCTTTTTCTTCTAAATCACAAATATTCATGTTGGTTTGACTAAGTGTTATGTAGTGGGTCTTTGATATAAATAATGCATAAATACCCTAACACTAACAGAATATTTATAAATCTCTTACTAATATTGTATTGAGATTTTTATTTTTTATTTTTTTTGTACTTAACATAACATTTNGAGATTTGGGATGTACTTGAGAGTTTAGATGATTTGAGAAATTTTGAGAAGAAAAGCAAAAGCACAAGAGACATGATTCAAAACAGCACTTAAACTAGTCCTTATGTGTGTGATAGATAATATATATGGGCCTATTATACAACCTTTTTTCAAATTCAAACAGGCAACTGGAATTGCATTTTTTGAGGCCGCCCCACAATTTGGTGTGGTAATAAGAGTAAACAAGACTCGTGGTGGAGCACATCCTATTTCATTCCCTCTCTCTTTTCCCTTTCCTTTTCCTCTTTGCCGCCGTGATTTTCTACTGTTTGAGTGCATCCTCCACTATTGCGCGTGACCTTTTTTATTTCTAGGTGTCCCTTTAATTTTTCACTTTTTTCTTCATACATTTAGACCCCACCAAGATTGTATTAATTTGTGTCATCATTATCTAAACACTAAACACATATGACTTTAAGTGTTTTAGCTTATTAGTGTTCATGATTACTTTCCTTGACTAAATTAGAACTCATCTTCTAACAATTTTGGACTCCTTTATATAATTGGCCAGAATACGCTTATACTTTACAAGTCGACGAGAAGAGCGACATCTACAGCTACGGAGTCGTGCTGATGGAGATTCTCACGGGAAAAAGATCGGTGGATGCAGAATTCGGGGATGGAAATAGTATAGTGGATTGGGTGAAGTCGAAGATGAAAGTGAAAAGTGATTTGATTGATGTGTTGGATAAGAATGCAGGTGCATCTTGTGCTCCAGTGAGGGAGGAGATGATGCTCCTCCTCAGGGTCGCGTTGTTGTGCACGAGCCGTAATCCGGCCGAACGCCCCTCAATGAGAGATGTTGTGTCGATGTTGCAAGAGGCCAAGCCCAAGCGAAAGTTGGCCGGAGGTGATGGAGGATTAATGGGTTGTGATTATGATGACGTGATTGGGGATAGAGATTATCAAGATGTTAAAAAATCGACCGTTGAATGTTGATATATATTTGGATTTTTTTTTTTTCGGGTTTTATTCTTTTTCTTTTTTCTTTTACATTTTCTTTTTGGGTGTGTTTTGGAATTAAGATTGTGGTTATTGGTATAGAAGAAGTTGTTTTTATGTATCTAGTTTGATTTATGAGCTATTCAAGCGTAGGCATTGACATTGACAATGGGTTGATAAAGTACTAGGATTTGTTATTCATGATTAGAGCTGTTACGCTCGTGAGTTCAGTTCGATTCGACTTGGTTCAATTCGTCGAGGTTCGAGTTTTGTTCTGCTCATTTGATGAATGAGCCGAACTCGAACTCACTTAAAACTTCTTTCGTTAACGAGTCGAACTCGACTTGGCTCGTTAAGGTTTAAAAAATGTTTTCTATATATTTTTTATAGTTTGGCTTGTTAAAGTAGAGGTCAACTCGTTAAAGCCCGAACTCGGCTTGTTAAACGAACTCGATTGTATATTTAGTTCGTTATCAAAGACTCAAACCAAAAATTCATATTTATCAACTATATATGATGGAAATGATAGATAGAAAATTTTCAAAAATTATTTTGACTTATATGAAAAGAGTTGAACTAAATCTACTTTTTTAAGTCGTGTTTGTTATATATCATTGTTATTAAAAATACTTAGAACTAGTGATTTTATTCAAGTTAAGTCGCGTAGTTTATATTCAAATTCATGCTTGTTTAATAAACGAGCCGGCCAAATTATAGTTTAATAAATACTTGTTTTTGAGTTAAATTTGAGTTTTGATTGATTTTTTTTAGGTGAATTGATAAACAATCACCCCTTAATCTACTGNCATATTTCTTGTTCCATGCCTTTTCAATTAAAATATAATTTGAATCGAGTCAATTTAGCATGCGTGGGTAAGTGGATTATATAAAAGATCCATATAGATAAAAAGGAATATAAATGAACTTCGTTTCCCCCAAGTAAACTGAGTTGTTTTCATGGTGGTATTTTACCACCCATTATATTCCGAAAATCATATCACGGCTTAACATTAACTGGGTTTACATCTTATAATTTTCTTATAAAAATAAATACCATGTTTTAAATCATATCATATTTATATTATTTTTAAAATATGTTATCTAAGTTTGAAAACATTTATATCTTTTGGAAAAAGTATGGTTTGATGGTTCATGAAAATTACTTTGGATAGGTAAAAAAAATCATTGTTAACGCAATTTAAAAATATTGTTTTCAAATTTAGAACAGAATTAACCGTATATATTATTTTCGAATCAGTGTGCTGATTGAATGAATACCCCACTTTACCAACTTGCTATCATTGTGTGATATTTTTTTTTCCCACTAAAAATCTACAACAGTGTCTACATAATTTGAAACAATTTAATTTCTTTTAAGGGTGCGTAAATTGATTTTTAGTTTGATCCATTACTGAATATTACAAAACTGTAAGAATCACAAAATCCTTTAGGCTCAAAAGTAATTCCATCAACCTATTGTACGCTTACAAATTGCACCAAAAAGATTTCATTAGTTCTTGTGAAGTTGTGATCAAACCTCAATCAATTCCTTGTGCAGTTGAATGTGATGGGCTCTCAAACTTTTCTCTTGAACCTGCATATCATTGCCAAACTTGTTAAGTAAAGAGTTTCTAATATTACATTTGTTGTTTTCATGTAGCATACTCCAATCTCTTTCCTTTTTTAGGAATAAGAATTGAATTTAAATTAAGATTATTACGTGACACAAATATGGGAGGGTAAGAGATTAATTTTATATCTTTGTGGTACCTGCTAACAAAGTAGATACTTCTCAAATTACATCCAAAATTCAGCTGTAAGACTATATGTACGAAATATTGAAATTCGGAATAAAAATATCAAATGAGTTGACCCCTCAAAGTCAAATTTGTGTTATGGAGATGGTGGGATTTATAGTTTTGAAATTCAATTTCTGTAAGATTTTGCTAACTATATCTTTCTTTTTCCCTTTTATTTTTTATTTTTCCTATTTCCATAATTTTTTCCAACTAACGGACCATGATCATTGCCCTTATTTAAGACTAAATGATGGGCCTATAGTCTCCATATAGAGCCCATCAGGCTTGTCAGACTTATATACTTCCTAAGCTTTATTATCTGCAAAAACCTTTGTAGGTTACAATTTTTCATACCTTGGGCCGTTCAATATTATCTACATGCATAATTGACTGAAGTCAGTAGCCACTTTGGTTAATCTAAATTTTCTACAAAATAATTGTTTATATTTAAAATTTTCCAAAATTAATATTATTATTTTTTTAATCAAGCTATAAGTTATTAATTTAATTACCTCTAAGGATGACACCAACATGACCCCTTTTTCCAACTCTTGGAATAAATGCTTCTGCTGCTTTAGCATGACCGATAGCTCCGTCAGTAAAAAACAATTTCTCTCAACCTTTAATTCACAAAAATATATACTAAAATCATCAACTAATTAAGAAAACTTCAACTAATTTCTTCCATTTTTTTTTATTTTTTTTTTTGTAAGTGTTCATAAGTTGCCACTTAACACTGGACCTTTTTTATTATTAGTAATCAAGATAAATCGAACAACTATATAGTTGATCTCAGCAATAGCCGTGTTTTTGCCTTTTCTACCTTGACCCATATGAACTCAAAATTGATATTTTCATTTTTGAAAGACCGTGTTAATTATGAAAAAGAAGAATAAAATTAAAATTAATCTAGCAGTTTGTTATGTTATTTTACCCGCCAATGCATGTCCAGAATCATTGCTTTTATATTGTCCATGACCTCTGTTGCCGTTGATATGGTGTCCTTGACAGACATTATATCTGCCTACAAGTGAAAATTAATAATGAATCACCTAAACATTTCAGTAAAAAAAAATAAATTAACCTTTTGGTCAATTTTACTTATTTAACATGTCCATCCATAAATTAGTCTGTTTTAGCCCGATGATATTTTGCAAATTGATCCTACCGTTGGTGACCTTAGCGCAATTTGATCAAAAATCTTGATGGATTGATAACTCGGCATTTTGGACGATAGGATAGTACATACTAAGTTGCGTACCTCGGCATTTTGGACGAGTGGGAGACACAGTGAAATGGCCGATAATTTTCTGACCATCCTCCCAATGGCTTCAGAGTTCTTGGGCTCCAGCTTGCCCCACTCGTTGAGCAGACTCAGTTCCGAGTTCAGAATATTATACACCTTCATTTGATGTTTCAGCTTTTGGATCATGGCTTTCTCCTCCACCATTAAGTTTCTTATTATCGAAATTCTCACCCACGCGTTCATAAGCTTTTTCTGCGTTCATGCATCATCCATCAATGGTAGCAAAAATATAATTACGGTGTATTTGCTCGTATAATTGAAAAATTCGACCGGATAATTTTCCGGTCCTTTTCTAGAAGCAATATGCTATATAGGCTAGTCCAGCTGTATATATTACCGAACAAGTTATTGTCTGATTTAATTTGTCAAACCTGGTCAAATATGCTAATTTAGCATCAATCCCAAGTAAACAAAGGAGTACTATGTAGTATCAAATATGCACACACAATTCTATATTGTATTTCATGATCTCAATTCTAACAAATATTAAAATATATATAAATCTTATTCATAAAATAAAATAGAACAAAAAGAATGACATATTCCTCTAATGTATGTCACACCTACCAGTCTACCAATAGAGTTTTGGTTTGGTCACCTAATTTAATAATAATCACGGAAAATAAAATATTTGTGTGACGTCAATACCTGAGCCACTCCCTTGACGGCGGCCATCGCGGCCGCCGCTCGAGCATTGGCGAATCTCCACTGTAGCAGCCTGTTATATGCCACCCTGTACCGATGGTACTCTCCTTCCAACGACGGCGACACCTTGTTCTGCCTGAAGAATCTCAAAACACCGCTCATCGTCCCGCCTTTGTTCCCTTCCCTCTTCCCCAAACTCGCCGGAGTTTTCGTCACCGGCGGCGGTGCCGGCGAAGACATCGGCCTCCCAGGGGACAACGCCCACGCAGATGGAGAAGTCGTGGCCGACCTCGATCTCCTCGGCACCTCCAATTTGCTCGTGCTTCGAGGCAAATACGCGGCGAAATTGCCCCCTGAGTCTCCGGCCTTTTTCGTCGAGATTTTCGTTTTCGAGCTTTTCTCGTCCTTTTCGGGTGTTCTGGAAATTTTCGAAACCTTCTTGGGGTGCGTGTCGACCGCGGTGTTCTTGCTCCTGCTCCGGAGCAGGTGCGGCTGATCGCGGCCTCTTACGCCGGCGTGTGGGTGGCGGATGTTATTTGGTTTGTTCATGTTGATGGGTTTGATATACAATTTTTTTCAAGGCAAACGTGAAATTGTGTTTGACTTTTTTTTCTTATATATATAAATGAAATGTGCTTTTTCTATGGATTATACGTATATATATAGTGTTGGTTATTAGTACTATTAGTTTATTACCTAACCGTGACAATTAGTCAAAAAATTGTTTAGAAAGTTGAGAGCACGTTATTGTGATCAACCGTGGGTTACCACAATCTATGTTGTTGATTTCAAGGACTCCACGAACTATATTAACTAATTTGGCTTAATATTTCATTAAGTTGTTCATAAAAGGCGTCACAAAATTTTGATGACATAGTCAAAGATATTTAAAATATTTTCATAAGTCAATGATAATGATAACATATAATCCGATGATCATAAATCTACGTGATTAAATTTATTTTCTTTTTATATAATCGTGACTTCAGGATATGATAA